CTCGGGACTACTGTGAATCTACATAAGAAACCAATGTGGTTGCTACGATCGCGTATCTTGAGGCGTACATGTGTTCACGATGATTATAATCTCACAGGTTTGTGATTGAGGACATCACATCCTTTCTCACACTGAGTAATACTATAAAGCATATCTGTGTTTCTGTGTGTGTGAAACAATCGTCAGAGGCTGTTTGTGTGTCTGAGAGTCCTCCTGACGCTGCAGTGTAGATGTCAAAGTAGGTGGGTTTGTTGGCGATGTTGCCCACAGGTTCGACTCCCGCCTTTGACCGTGACCTTGGAAGGCGTCGCCCAGGCGCCTTGTCCACGTTCACCACACGCTAGAGCTCCCAGAAGTTCACGTCAAAGAATGTGACTTTTGGTATATGGGAATACGGTACATGGCTTGTCTAAGATTTATGTCGAATCGGCAGTTGCATCTCTGACGTGCTCCGACTCTCTTCTAATATCGCATTAGGCGTATAACTACATTACACATACCCACACATACATTTCTTCTCCCTCCCCACCACATTGTGGACACAAATATATTTTTTCCACCTTGTCTTCCTCTCACCTAATACTTAATAAACCCGCCTACTCTGATAATAATTCTCTGCAAGGTGAATATCCGCTGAAAATCAGACCAGATCGCGCTGGACAATAAACCCACAACTTCCCTTCACAGGAATATTTGTTTAAAAAAGTAAATGGGTTTAGTAACTGATGTGATTCTGAATACTTTTAAACTCTACGTACATCTCTCGGTCCATGTTTTAATGTTTATTGCATGGAATGTACACGGGGTCATATAGATGTGAAGATACTATCAGCTTGGCAATCATGATACACGTTCACCTCTTCACTCCATTATCACTCTGATTATTTGTGCCGTTGTGTACGTAGTGCCTCTAGCTTCTCTATAACATACTCTAAATTAGCTACTCATACTATCAAGAGCAATCAACACATAATATAATAAACTAAATAGAGTAATTAATTTTTAGGTTAAACATATTCTGATTGTAAGGGATACTCTTCCAGATATCTACATATACAAAGGGAACAATAGCTGACTGTATAACACACATGGCAGTATAATAAATTGAGCAGTACTTTCTTCTTATACTGTACTCTGAAAATATAGCATATATTTAAAATATGCTCTACCCACTACACTCTTTCTTCTCTCGCGCTATCACATACAATCATACTTATAACATAACAACAGATAGGTTCTACTGGGAAAGGTATTTTTCTTATATAAAAATTGTTTCAAATTGAAGTCGTTACCTTTTGGTTTCCGGCTGTCTCGCTTTTGACTTGAGGAGAAATGAGCTGTGTTGGGCGGTCGATCTCTCTAAACACGTGTATGCGGTGTCTGTTTCCATTGTTCTGAGCCCTCATTTTGAAGGGGCTCGTCCCACGCAGTTCGGGCTGTTAACACCACACACACACACCACACACACACACACACACACACACACACCCAAATATATGTGTGAAAGAAGACAAGTCTAAGTGAGGCCCAAATACTCATGAGGAATCTCAGCTCTGCTTCATCTGATCATGCGGAGCACACGCTGTGGTTTCAAAACCATTCGCTCTTCAGCTTCTATCTCAGGAATTTTTGTGAATACAGAGAAACTACTGGGAAATACAACAGGGCGGTCCCTAGATCATTACAACAGGGTGGGCTGCAGCGTCGTCTGCTGACAGACAGAAAATAGAAAATGAGGATGAGGAAGAAGGAGGGATTTGGTGCATACCTCCTCTCTGGTGCCACATCAGGCATGATCCAGGTAAACGGTAACTTTGACCCTGACCTGCACTGACGTGTCCCCCTGTGAAACACTGCAGGACGCATCACACTGTTCCCCGTCGGTATCGATACCTAACAGGAAGAATCAAACATACATTCTATTTATGAACACAGTAATTACCCTCAAGAATAAAAAAGTAAAACAAAAAAATCTAGTATTTGCAGTTTACCATATGATATACACATACAGAAAAGAGTAATCTCCATCTTCTCCAGAGTCCAATTTTCTGCCCTTATTTTTCCGTAACAATTCCATTATTGTGATTAGTCAACGAATCGTTGCGCTCCCAGTCTCTGTACATATCAACTTTTTATGGGTTGACACATTACCGTCCTTGTTTATGTAATCTGATAGGATTCTTCTCATTTCTAAAGATAACACTACAGTCACGATAACTAGCTATCTCTATACTTACTGACCGACGACGACAAACCAATGTATTTTGATCAAAACGGTCCGACGATCAAACGTTGGGAACAACACACCCACACCGAGATGGATTTGCTCGACATCGCATGCTATGGTCTCGTACATTTCATAATGCGTGTCTCTTCTCTCAATACTGTACCCAGAGTCAATATACACTGGCAGAACATTTTTGACTCTTGCGTTTCAATTATAGTTGGTTTTAATTGGCATTGTCTCTCTCTCTATGTTTTGCGTGTTGTGTACATAACATCTCATACACTAATTTACAACTAGGTCTGTTGTTACTCAGAATTTTGAATACTGATTCTCTCAACTCTCTCCCTCTCTCGCGTTAGAAGGTTTTTAATCAGGTGCCAGCAGCCAGTTTATAACATGATGAGACAGGATTTTTATTACCTTCTCCTTACATATCATTATCTTGATGATCCTTCCGAGGTAGAGATTACACTGTTACGTTACGTACCGTCTATTTAACAGGACTCTTTCGTGCATATCTGCTGATGTTTGGATTGGCGGGTATGTTTGTCGGCAAAAACTGAGCCAGGTTCACATTTTTGCCGGAACAACTCTGCTGAGGAATAACACACAGTCTCTCTCAACAAACAAACAAAAAGGAGGAGGGAGCGATCTCACTGAAATTGATCAGGGAGTGCCGAGAGAATTTTGTGTGTGTTGTGTGTGGTGTGTGTGGTGTGGTGTGTTGTGGTGTGTGTGTGTGTGTGTGTGTGTGTTGTGTGTTGTGTGTTGTGTGTGTTGTGTGTGTGTGTGTGTCCTGCTGCCCTTTAGTAGCCATTTCCAGGTATTTCCCTCATCAGGGTAACTGTGTGTGTGCATCAGATATGACTGTAGTTCTTTGTTCAGACTAACAGCTGTTCACTTCCTCACATTGTCAGACAGACCAGTGTTTCCAGTGGTTCCATTAGCCCACCCCCACACACACACACACACGGGAACACGTCACAGACACAGAAGCTCTCGTGTTATTCAATCAACGCCCAGGTGGCCTTTTCGGAAGTGTTTTCAAAAATAAATTAAAACCTATGCAAAGATGTATGTGACTAAATATGACACACAGGGTGATACAAATCTCTTATTACATTTAATTGCAATGTACATTTTTGTATTTTTCGGCTGCAGCAACCGAATCTCCCCCAAAATTAAGTGATTCAGATTTCATTTCATCTAATAGAGAACTTTTTGTTTTACATTTTCCTTGCATTTTCTCTAGTGTGTGTGTGTGTGTGTGTGTGTGTGTGTGTGTGTGCGTGTGTACCTGGTCCCGTATGCACGGCCTTCTTGGGGTTGAGTTTGGGTTTGAGTGGAGCTCCTGGCTTCAGTTTGGCTTTGGGGAACTGGGACAGGTAGGTCATCACCGACTGTTCATCCGCACTGGGATCAATGATCTCCTCTGGAGCGATCACCTGCGAGTGCACACACATACACACAGAGTTCAGGTCCATTGTAAATAAATCTATTTTTTAAAGTTAAGTATGGTTTAAAGAAATGTTTGCATGCTTTGTGCTGAGATCAAATCACGAAAAACAGACTCAGTAGGAGGACATGGGTGTCCACATAGTTTTGGCCATATAGTGCATCATGACACAAGTGAAAAAAGTTAACAGGTATTCAGAAGGTACAAACCCTTTATGAGATTGACTAAAGGAGCGAGTATAAAAGAGTTTTTAGGAGCAGTGAACCAAAGCTGAACTCTGAGACCAAAGCAGAGCGATGTGGAGGAAGATCAGTAATGATTTAAGGAGGAAATGTGGCTGTGGATGAACTTGATTTAGTCCAGGACACTGAACTCTGTGTCACACCGGTGTCATTTACAGTCACCACTCTTTTCTTGCTGCTCATGTCATGTTCAACATTTTCCCCAAGTCGCTCTGCTGCACAGGCTCGGGATATAAACTGGAATTAACTACTTTCCAGCAAACAAAAATGCCCTGAACGAACGTCATGGGTGTGACAGTGAAGTTTGCAAGCTATGTTTTTTCTGGAGGAAACTTCCTGTGGGTGTCAGCTGACTGACAGGAAGCAGAACATAACGTAATGCAGTCATGACACAAAAACATCACCTCAGGATGAATGAAATCAGAATGAAAGTTTCTTTATGATGATTAGGCCATTCTTCAAACTGAACAAAAAGCAGATTATTTTTCCTAAATGTCAAAAATGAGCTTTAGCATCTGCAGAGAAACTTTCATAATTTATTTAAAGACCCGCTGACCAGTTATTCAAAAACAAATGTCCATTTCAGGAGTGACAACTGACTAATTATTTTCCTGGGAAAGTCATTATAGTAAATTTCCGTTTCAGCTCATACATCTGCGAGTTGCATCCTCTCGCCTTCAAACAAAAGTGTGTAAAAAACAAACTCAGGTTCAGTGAGTTTCCTCTGCTGTGAACAATCAGGAAGCCAAACAGCATCTGTGTGAGATGCTTCTGGCGACCTTTGACCTCTGGGGGAAAAAAAAAACACAGCAGGGCAAATTCTGCCTCTGTTGGGCTGCACGATACACAGAAAATACAGGATGTGTGATGTTTGTCGGATATTTGCATGGAGAAATAAGATGCAAAGCAAACATTTAAATGTCACTGCACCCGTCTAAATGTATTAGATGTTAGCATTGTTAGCTGTCCAGGCTACAATGTTAAAGCAATGTATGAACCGTCCCTGCAGATACTTTAAAGTAAAAGAGACTTGGTGGCCGGAGCTTTTGAGAGCATGCTAACACATTCAATAAAGCTGCATCTAACCTGCGGGATGCCCAGCCAGTCATCGGCCAGCTGCATGGCTTCAGTGGCATTCTCCACTGGTTTCACTGGATCCCAGGTCTCCCAGTCTGGACACAGGCCTGCAAAGGACACACAACTACATTGTCAAACTTACAGACACACAACAGAACTAGTTGCGTCAGATTTTATTTTATGTTTCCAGCCTACAGTTTGTCTTTCCTTGCTGATGAAAAAAGGCTCAAAAAAGATTTTCTTGAACGGATGGTTGACAGGTCTCCCATTTCCACAATGAACATCACATTAAACCTTTTTCATACACCTGATTGGATAAACTCATCGCTATCTAAGGTGTCTTTTATCTTCCTTTAGCTTCTTACTTTTTATACAGGATAAAAACATGGTGGCAGTCAAACACACTCATTTGCCAGTTTATGCAGACAACTGCTGACTGTTGAGTTATTTATTTCTGCTTACGAACAAAAACACCATAAAACAATCAGCAAATAAAGTGTTTGTTTCTCTCCTTCCCTTTTTTTAAAATTAGTCAGGAAGCTGAAAACAATAAAGCCTAACTTTGTTTCCAAAATCAAGAAGACAACAAGAACTGTCCACCCTCATCCTCATGAGCACTATCTTTTTTATGAATGAAGCTGTACACAAGTTGTAGTTGCCGTGGTGTCTGTCTTTGACCAATCA